GTAAATGAGATACTAAGTGAGGAAGTGAATGAGTAGGTAAGAGAGTGAAAGAGAAAGAGATCCTGTGCATGAACACACGTCCATGCGCGCTTTCTCACATATTTTGATGCACCAGAGGCTAAATATCCTGTTTGTGTTGCAGGGTTGTGCCAAGAAGATGATCCAGCTGATCCACAGCCACAGCTACGAGGTCCTGGGTGTGGTGGCTGCCATCGTCCTGATCGAAATCCTGGCCATGATATTCTCGATGGTCCTGTGCTGTGCTGTGCGTCGCATTGACCACGTCAAGGCCTAGGAGGAAAATAGCTCCCCAATATATGACCTGGGGATGGAGAGTGAAGACGATGATCCCACTGTTTGAAAAGGAAAAAGAAAAGAAGAAAGAAGGAAAATGTAGTGCATTTATAGATCAGTTTTTATATTGATCAGTTTCGAGAGAATTGTGAATGGCTGGCTTGACCTTTAGCTAGAAAACCTCTCCATCCGGTCAGGAAACATCACAAAATATCCATCTGATTCAGGAGTGATCATAGATTTAATTTTTTTGAAGAAGTTCTTTTGTCGGGAGTTTGAGCATTGAATAGTTTAGAAATTGTTTACCGTTAGTTATGGAAAAGATAATTTTTTGTTTTATAAATAGGATTGAGGGTTAAAAACGATATTTAAGGAATAAAACTGATGGAAATTGTAGAATTACTATCGAGTTACAAGCCACATTGCCCCTCCCCCCACAAAAATGTATAAAAGGCTAAAGATTTTCAATAGGTTATATAATGGAATATTTGTCTACACCTATTAAGATCATGGAGTAGAATTTTCTTGAATTTTTGGTGTAAACATTTCTTCATCAGCTTAGTAAATATTGTCTTGCAGTGTTGATCACAGATTATTAAAAAAGAAAATAGAAATACAATAGTTAGTAGCTGAATACTAAAACATATTTTTGTATTTACTGAATTAATTTACAATGAAAAAAAAGTTGTATCTTATTAAGAAGCAGATGAACATTTTTTATGAAATAGTTACTACTTTGATATCAATTTATATGTAACAAGCAGGCTCGGTTGCATTATTTTTATGATCTCTTTCAATACTCTAGTTCTTTTCGAAGTGACAGTAACTGCGCCATTACACATCAGACAGGCTGTCCTTAACTGCATGAAGTTCCCCCACTCAGTAAATTGGTTGGGACCAGCTAATTTGGCTAAGATTTTGTGCATCAGGGATAGTTCATATTTCTTGTGTTTTCTTTTTTTTTTCCCTTTTGTTCATTTGTATAGATAACGTTTCTTTTTCACATTTCAAGATTGTTTGGATTCAATAGTAACAGTTTTTAAAATGTTTTTTAATATTTTTATACCAAGGTTTGTGGAGCAGTTGGCATAGCACGACTCATGTTGAAAGACTAGTAATGTTTGATCCAGGTTTTGCCGAAAGTTAACATGTTACTCAAAATCAAATCAAGTGATGAAAGTTCATTTGGAATGGAATTTTTTTGTATCAGCTGGTATACACACACACTTTCCTTACCAGCACAATCTTTTATTTTTATTTTTATATCTCCCAAACTGGTCACATTAGAACCAAAGCTTTTCATATGTTAGATTAACTGCACTGGTCTTCACCACAACTATACCTCCAAAGACTCTTAAGTATAAAACTTAAGAGCGAGCAAAAATGTTGTCGTGACAGCTTGGGCCATCAGCTATTGCTGGTGTTGGCACCCAGCTCCTGTACATACTGAATATTGAAAAAAAACAATTATAAAAAGTATAATCCTTTATACTAAGAAACTGTATCTCACATGCATGCCCTTGTGGATTTCTGAGTGGTAAAAGAAGGGTTTGGCTTCATGTTATGTATGTGCAGTGTTCATGTACACATTCAGTATTAATATATGGGAACTGTATGGTCCTTCACTCTGTGTAGTATCCCTGTATGCAAGAGGCATTTTATGTACAGTTTAGGTCCATAAACTGTATGTAAGTGCTATTGTGCTCTCTATTGTGGAAGACCATATAGGTTATTACAAGCTGTACGTGTGTTCATGCACAGTCTGTGAAGCACATTACATGGGAATGTGTACAGGGCTTTCTGTTACTAGTGAAGTATGGATTTGCATTTTCCAATATTCTCTTTTTTTAAGGGTTCATGAACAGTGATTTCCATATTTCAAGTTTTCATTTGTGGTTCTTAGAAAATTTTTACAATCTTTTGAGTGATTGAAGCTGATAATGACAAATGTATGCACATACGCTTACAATTAGTATGTGGGTAATACAGCCTATAGCTTTTTCATTACAAAAGACTAATGTAATTATACCTATTAATGCCTTAACTCCACCTAAATTCATTTAGATTGAATATATATACTTTTACAAGAAAGATGTGTGAAGAAAATTGGAAACACATTTGTTTTGCATATATTGGAAAACACATGTTTCTGTTATACAAATTCTATTTCCGGTTTCAGATACCACAAATGGCATGTGAGGACTGGTAATAAATGTTAATTTGAATGTGTTTCCCTTCAATATGGATGTGTGTTCATGAAATGTTGTTAGGTTAATGTGTTGTTTTTTTTATAAATTCAAGGATCCGAAAGTATGCATTATTTTCTTTTTTTTTTTTTCCTAAGATTTTTAGTGCCAATGTTGTTGACCTCAAAAGCACGTGTTCGTTTGATTTATTTATAGATGGAAGACATTTTTCATTATCATAGTGTAACTGATATTTCTGTTATAATGTAAGTTGGTAGTTTAATATTCCTGTATTTTCTTGATATCCTAAAGTTAGGAAGAGATACCTACTATTAGACTGTGCATCTTGGAAGTTGACATTACAAATTTTAAATCTGTTGAACTTTAAAGGAACTGATTATTTAATCAGATTGTGCTCTAGATTGAACAAAGCAATAACTTAAGTTTCTATTATTCCAAACAGTGCTTTATCTCATTAATGAGTACATTTAATGTGGATATGGTCTTTTCATCTTGTTTGTTTTGTACAAAATACAGTTACTGGTATTTTACTGAGGAACCTCTTCTTTTTAGCTTTACTATTTGGTTGTCATGGTCTTAAAGGTACTAAGCTGTGGATGTCACTTTATTAGGCTTTTTATTTTTCATAAATGACTGTAATGCCTTCTTGTATGAAATGCATACATACATTCAGATATCTGTTGTTCCAGGATGCAAATCTCCTTTGTAAATAAACACAGTCTGTGCATCAAACTGCCAAACACGGCATGTAGGAACCAAGGGAAGGGATTCCTTTAACACACAAAATTTACCTGTAGTTACTTGGAGTTGGTGGAAAATTACCATGCATAAGGAGAAGAGGAGAGAAACTATTTATCATGAGTAGGAAAAAGATTGATTGAGAGATTTATTGTATGAGGAAATATCCTTAAAAAAGATTAAAATTTACAGGTAGGAATTTGTAACAAATGCTTCTCTAGTTTAGAAGAAAGAAAGGTAACAATGCTTTGTGGTTTTCTCCTACCAGCTCATGATCTGGCCTGCAGGACAAGATCGGTGGTTATATCTGAAAATTATCCTCCACAGGCTCTCTATTGGTTGCACAAATGGATGCTCAGATTTCATGGTTGACATAACTTGTAAGGTTATCAGTATTTATTGATATATCTGCAGAATTATCAGATCAACAGTCAACAAATGCTTGTGACAAACAGGTTATATGTATAAGTTTAGAAATCACAGACAGTAGGTTTTAACTTCATCATGGTTCATATATGTTATTTTTACTACAAAAAAAAAAGAAAATAATAAAGACTACATGCACCAAGATGAAGCTTGATCTATGGTTCTATGTTACTAAATCTTATGAAAGGTTATGAAAACTGCAGAAACCATGAAGCACAGAACTTGGTGCTAGATGCTCGTGCTGATTATGCAGCGCTGACCTACTTTGCACTGCCCAGTCCATGGCACAGCCCTCATAACCTAACTTGCCACCTATGACTTGATCCTGTTTGATCATAACACATTTTTGATTGTGCCGAGACTGGGCTTGCATTCCAAATCTTGATGTATTTGAAGAGTTGTATGAAATGACTAAGAATAATTATATAATTTTATTTTGTATTTAGGTCAGCACTGCGTCCATTGCTATTCCCACGTCAAGATTTTTGTGATGTCTACTCATCATCTTGTGAAAACTTCCAAACTTGTTTGTAATCATGCTAGAATAAATAAGTAACCTTAAATATTTGTTTTATTTCATCAAAGATTTGTAAATATTTGGACTCCTTAGTCAAAATCTTGACTTTTTGAGCAACTTCCATCAGCAAAATGTAAAAGCTTCAATGTTCCACTCATAAACCACTCACTAGGAAATAAAAGATTCATACACTATTGGTTTTATTAAAAATAATGTCTTCAGACTCTGGAGACACGGAACTATATGCAAAGCATCCATTATTCAAATGATTATACACACTATAAAATTAGAATGCAAATAAGCAACAATATCAATTAGTGACCCATACACTAATTCTGAAGTAAATAAATAGGAACCCACCATAAATTATATCCTCACCCAATTTTCATTCATTAAATAGGATTTAAGCACAGTATATCAACAGACTTGAGTCACAGGACTCGTGCTAAGACACTTGTTACCCTTAAGGTAAAGTGATGACAAGAAGGTAAGGGAATGTGTTAAATTAAACATTTCTAGATATTAGGTAATCATATTCATGTCCCGCTGATAATCATTTTTAAATTTTTTCTTTAAATGAAGAAAAAATAATTGTAATATCTCAATCTCAGTACAAATTCCTTTTGAAGATATTTACATGAAAAA